ATGAATGTCGTTAAAGCAAAAATATAAACCTTCAAGTTTCCAAAAGTGCAATGCAACTTATATCAGCTGCCTACGAAGCAAGTCAGTCTTAAGTGATCAAGCTTACTTGAGAAAAATGGTAAAGCTGCCATGAATCTGACTTTTTTTTTTATTTCAACAGAGCATGGTAAACATGGTGAAATCTAGAGCTGATTTTTCTGTTTGTGTTTTGATTACATGGCAGAGATCATAGCTGAGTTTTTCAGCATTTAGTCGATTATTTTTTGAACTTACAACTAAAAATGAAATGGCACCAAAGCCACTTTAATATTTGCCACAAAAAGGCAAACTGTGTTCATATGAAATGCTCCTTTGTTAATATAAATGGTTGAATGCTAATAATATAAGTTCAGCACTGGAAAGCACCAGCATTTGTACACTGGAAACAAAACCAGTTACCTTTTGTTAATGCACTGCTCACTGACTTGGTTGTATCCTATACAGCCACTATGAAGTCATAATCACACAGTATTGTACATAATGTATAATAGCGCATTATACATGCATTTGATGGGGTCACTTGTCACTCTGTACCCTTTACCACAATTTGTCAATATGCAATGTTAATTCTGTGAAGGGGGGATATTTTAACCCACGTTTGGTGCTTAAACCTCATGAAATACCAAATAAGAAATTAAAACTAAGCAGTACAGTGAAAACAAATTGACACCAAGTGCAAAACCAAAGCTCACACATCCAGGGAATAAGAACAGAGGGGTATTTCACCCTCAAATTATGTTACAGGTTATTTTTACGTTTAAGTTGTTGGCTCATGACCAGATTTCTATATTTCTTCTTTTAGAAAAACCGTTACAAAAAGTTAAGGAATATTATGAGTGCTGTCACTATTTGCTGCAGATGATAATGCATTTAGATAAATGTGTCTAATTATATGACATATCCAGCTGCAGAGGCACCAGCAGCCCACAGAGAAGCAGTCACAGTCACTAAATTGCATGCTAACCATCTCGAGCCGGGTGTGAAATATGTCATTTGCCTCTGCTCTTAATTGCACTAAAAATGAAGATTAAGAGGATGAATTATTGATACAAGTTGGTATTTAATCTTTTGTAATGAATAGTGAATCCGCTGGTTATAAATATTGTACAAGGCTTCATAATTTGATAAATTTATTCCAATTTGCCCTTTATTTTGCCCTTTAGTCAAGGTTACGTTCATTTAAACTCCCTCTCTCTCTCTCTCTCTCACACACACACACACACACACACACACACATATGTAGACACTAATAAATACTCATGGCCACTACTGCTCTGAAAACATGCACAACAAATGAACTGCAGTGCATCTACCTACCCTCTGCCCTTGGTCATTGTATCATTCTTTTTTACCAAGGCCCATAAACACAGATGCATGCAAGCATGTAAACAAAATGCCCTTGGTTGACCTTGTTCCCTCAAAACACACACACACACACATGCACATGTGTGTGTAGCAGTAATTAGGCAATGCATCTGATTGTCATTAAAGAGCACTGGCAGATAATGAACACACAGTAAAGCTAGATTATTTCTTATTTCCTGCACATTATCAAGCTGTCTGATGGTGCTGAATTCATGTGACTTGTGATAATAAAAAAATGTGAAATGTTACCAATTATCCATAACATTAAATGCACTGAGCAAGCTACTGAATCCCTCTGCGCTCACATTGCTGTGCTTCCTGATCACAGGTATATACAGCATAACATTAAAAATATGTGGTCATTAACTTTGAGATCTACTTGTAGCTAACTTTGGAGATATCTACTCTACTACAATGTGACTTTTAAGCATTCCCGAAAGCCGGTCAACAAGAACAGCAACACACTGGAACACACCGGAAAGAGCTCAGGTGTTGTCTATGATGGGCTTATTTTCTTGTTAAAATATACATCAAAATACAATACAATCTTAAAGTGCAATATCCACTCGAATGTGCTGTTTGCTCAGAACTGAACATGTTTGATAGATCTCATAGCTTTGAGGAAAGTATCTGCTGAATGCACTACACAAACTCATCAATCTTGCAAGAATCATCGTTTTCCTTTTAGGTATCACCAGATATGAGGCTTGCTACTGAGTTATTTTGAGGACCAACAGACAAAACTCTGCCTCTAACGTCTTAAGATATTACCTGGAGCTGTCTTAGATACACATACTTTATATGAGATTTACGTAACAGGGCTAAAAAATACATCTGTATACCATGAAAATACTGGTTGAAATTCTGCTGTTAATGAACTTATTAATTTGATGAGGTCTTGATGATTCCATAAAATTGACTTCATTATTTTAACGAGTCTTCATTCGTGTTTGACTTGGGAAGAATTCACTGTTTTCGCTGTTAACTTGACCCTAGTCTAGACTTGAGTTGAATGTTCTGAGAATAAACTTAGGCCTGGCTTCAATGAACTGCAACTTAGTCAAAAAACTTGTAAACTGGACTCCTCCTGAATAAGAAGGGGTTTGAATCATTTTAAACTCAACTCCAACTTGCATTGAATAACTTTGTTCTTGACCTGGGCTCAGGTCCAGGTTTCATCCTTTGTACCAGTAGATAAGGTTCACTTTAAACTTGGCTTTTACTTGCCTTCAAATGCTCGCCACATGATTTAAGCTTGTCTCCCCCCCCCCCCAAAAAAAAAAATCGTGAAATATAATTCATTTTAAGTAGAAGTCACTAGCTGCTGTTTCTTTAGCTTTTAGTTAATTTAATTAATGTTTGTTCCCACTTTGTCTTTTAGGCCCCCCTTTGTTGAGATTGAGTCTGGTTTTGCTTCAGCTTGTTTGTCAGTTTGCCATTTTACCTTCATTTGTGTTTGTAACAAATGTTCTTGCTAGCTCTCTCTCAGGACTCTCATTGGACTTTTTAGTAATCCATCCATCCATTCGCTTCCGCTTATCCTTTTCAGGGTCGCGGGGGGCGCTGGAGCCTATCCCAGCTGTCATAGGGCGAGAGGCAGGGTACACCATGGACAGGTCGCCAGTCTGTCGCAGGGCCAACACATAGAGACAGACAACCATTCACACTCAGGTTCACTCGCACATTCACACCTAGTGGCAATTTGGATTATCCAATTAACCTATCCCCACAAGCTACATGTCTTTGGACGGTGGGAGGAAGCCGGAGTACCCGGAGAGAACCCACGCAAACACGGGGAGAACATGCAAACTCCAAACTCCACTTTTTAGTAATCATTTTTCATATTTTATGCAAAATCCACTTTCTATTTCTTGTGTCTTTTTTTCAACATTTTACCTTCATTTGTGTTTGTAACAAATGTTCTTGCTAGCTCTCTCTCAGGACTCTCATTGGACTTTTTAGTAATCCATCCATCCATTCGCTAGCATTAGGCCCCTAGCATTAGGCAGCTAATGCTAGGGGCTTGTTTTGTTGCAAAGGTAGCACTCCACTCTGTTGCTAAATATGATGAAATCCTTAAAAAAAACCCAAAGAATGACATCACTCTGGCAACTTTTATCTTTTATATATAGTGTATGGTTTAACCCAATCCAAAGAACATACACCTCTCTATGTAGCTGCTCATTTTAGCATATGACTATAGGTTCTACACTGGCACAAATGTTGTTTTGTGGGCGGACAGTCGACCAGAAAGAGTTAAAAGCACCACTGGTTACAACACTGGAAGTCAGATTGTCTCCTACAGATGGAGGATCTTGCAGGATTTGTACATCGGTTAGTTTGGGTTCATTGTTCACCTGCCCAGAACAGACACACACTGAATAATTTAAAATATCACAGAAGTATGGGAAACCTGTGATGCTGACATGCCTTGTGTGTGTTTGTGCTCTGAAGCAGCGAACAGTAATAATTCAGTGGGTTCGCACCTTAGTTTGTTGTTTGGGGGTTTTACGGATCAAAGCATTAAGTGCAGAGAGAGATTCACACAGATAATGAATGGACTGTTAATGTGCTGTGGCCAAGCAGCTAATGGACACACACACACACACATACACAGGAAAACACTGATACGCACACATACAAAATTACACTTTCACTATAAGATGTACACAAAACACGCACGCACACAGAGGTGGTAGCTGGCTAATGGCTGTCACTGTTGACTGATCACAGTGATCAGCCTGCTGCAGCTCTAATTGCAACTAAACAATCTGAAAACAACCAGAGTCAGGTTTGCAGGAGAAGAAGGAGGGGAGCAGGAGAAAGAGAAGGAGAGAGAAATACGGAAGAGAAATACAGAAAATAAAACAAGATGAAAGTGATTCAATGAGAATGAGGAAAGAATGAAAATGGATCAAAGGAAGGGAAATGAAAGCCCAACAGGTTGGAAAGAGGGAAGAAGGGAAGGACCTGTTTACAAAAGGATATATCCACAGCAGAAATGAGTAATAAACTTAACCTGTTAGCAGTCGGACGTACCGCCCACGGTACATTGGATGGTTTAGGGGACTAATTGGACTGCTAAGGGGTTAATCAAGGAAAACATTTTTTATAAACACAGCAAGAAAATGGGATAAAACAGCTGAAGGTAGACGCGTACAGGAGGGAAGAAAAACAAGGAAAAATGTGATAAAGGTAGAAGAAAGTTAAAGTCTGAACAGATGGACAAGAATGAAGGTACTAAAGGTCAGATAAAGAGTTTGAAGTGTAAAATATATATGAAAAGTTTTCAGTATTCTATTTTGACAAGATACTGATGTAGGCTTCAGGCAGCTTTTTTTGCACAGTTAAGATCCAAATTTTGGGACTGCCAGGAAATAAAAATGAAATTTATACACTGAGCAACTGAGTCCAAGTGTGTGTGTCTGTGTGTGTGAGAGAGAGAGACAGTAAGACAGAGGGATAATAGGGATCAACCAGGGAGGAAATGGAGGGATATGAATCAAGGAATAAAAAACAAACAATAAGCAGATGAGCAGAATAACCGAAAGCTTCGAAGCTAAACAGAAAATAAAAACCACCGCTGCTATTTTTACCTTGAGGCCGTCTGCTGGGCAAGAAGGCAGCCAATTGGCTGACGGGTCCCCTGGGGCTGTGAAGGGCTCGTGTAACTGGTTGGTATAGAGGAGGCGGGCCTGGATGCAGCGGAGGGCGCGGAGCATCCAGCTATGCTGGCGCCGGATCTGCCGCTGGAGCTGATCCCATTGGCTGGAAACCATATGGAGGATATCCTTCAGACCTGGAGGGTGACAGACATAGGGATAAAATTGAAAAAATGAGAGAGAGCCATGGATAACACAGAGAAAGACAAACAGAGAGAGGATAATAATGAAAGGGAGAAAGAGAGACTTGGGATAGTTACGGTGAGAAAAATGATACCCATAATTCCATTCCTCTATCTGACTAAAGACGAGCTTTTCTAAGACCACAATATCTTTTAAAAAACTTTTAAATCCACATTATGTTAAGTGAATGTAACGTCATACTTTTATTTTCATCCTTAAAGGATAATTCCGGCTTATTTCGGCCTGGAGCGTTTTCCTTTTAATGTGGCTTTTGTGGCTCAGAAAATGACATTTTTTGAGTGCTGCAGGTATCTTGCAACAGCTGCTCTGATACGAATCTCTACAACAGAGTCGCAGAGTGCAAAGTGTGTACGATAATGGGAACTAAGCCAGGTTGAAATAAACGCTAATTATCCATTAAATCGATGGGTTACCTTTGAAACACCCCTACAAAACATAGGTCATTAGTGACTACATTCATTTACGCTTTTCAGAAAGTATAAGAACAAAGATAGTGGCAATGAAAGTGACGCAAAGGCAGGTTTTTATCGTTATTCAGACTTTACAAAGGTATACAAATTCTAATTCCTGGAAGTCATGAATATTTTCTAGTGTATATAGTGATAGATTTCACTTCCCTTGGGCTAAATCCCAGTTTCCACCCATAGGCCTGTTGGTATCCTTAATCTTTAAGCTTTTTTTTCCTGTGTTGTAGGCTGCAGATAGGCTGCATGCTAACGAGGTGACAAATGGCATTAAAATCATGGGTTTTATTGTCTTGGCTGAATGATGATTCAAGTCTCTAATTTTGCTACAAACTAGAGGTCCCTCAGGAAAGTCTCCAGATATACGGTTGCATAATAACATCAAAAAGTGATGCGAATGACCAAACCATAATCAGTCAAATTTATCACTCATGTGCTCGTGGTGACTGTAATCTGGTTATTCCACAGAGTGTACGCCACTCTGACGCATTTCTGCTTCATGAAAAAGCTAAAAAGGTTTTGGAGCTTTTAGAAAGTGGAGCACCTTCCTCCATCTTCTCTGTCTTCCCTGGAAATCTGGCCCTGAATAACTGAGTTCTGCTGGGATGTTCATTAGAGATCAATTATCTCTGCACATTTTGATTTTCTAGAAATCTGATGCATGAGTGGCAGAACAATCCCCATCATCGGACCATTTTCATCAAAACCTCTTCAGAAATCTGTAGTTCAAGTTGTTTAGTTTGTAATTATTCATCTTAGTAAGTCTGTTATGTTATCAAGTTGGTAAGCAACAAATATTCCCAAATCCCAACACACTATTACTGCTCAGATATTTGAAAACAACACAGCTTTCTCTCTTTCTCGGTTCTCTCTTTTCCATCTTTAGCTTCAGAAATTCTGAAAAAATATGCCGTTACTGTATACTCAATGTTTCTTTCCCCTGCCTGCTGTTCTTCTTTTCTTTTTCTCTTTCCTTCGTCTTTTCTCCCAACTCATCTCATTCTTTGTCTTTATCTCTCCCAGTCTCTCTTTCGGCTACATTCATATGAGGTCTCCTCTCTGAAGGTCGCTCTGTTAATCCAAATATTAATAATGAATGGAATAGGGTCGGGGCTCCATTATGGCCACCTGTGTGTGTGTGTTTCAATGTGTATCCTGTTATTGTGTGTGTGTGCATATTTGATATGTGAAAGAATATGAATACGTGCAAGAAAATACCAGAATGGTGGAAGGTGATGATGGTGAGCAGCGCTTTGCCTTCCTCCATTATGCTTTCCTTCAGAGCGGCGCGACTGTCCACATTTAGCTTGAAACTCTAAAACACACATAGAGAAACAGATGCAGATCATCACCAGAATCCAGAGAGTTCATCAGACAAGATGAAAACAAACCTGCATTCTTTATAAAGTCCAGCAGGGCGGCGACTCCAGTGATTGTAAAAAGAAGTGCTTCATGTTTCTAATCCTCACTAGATATATCACCTCAGGTTTCTGCTGCGTTTGTAGTCTAAATTGCTAGCTTTAAGTATCACCTAATAGGGCATGATATTCATTTTACAATGTCTGACGCTATTTTGAGTAAAACAAACAACATAGGAGAGGATTTTGGGTGTGGCTACCTTGTGAGTGACGGTTACTACTGTGCAGTAAACTTCATTTTCTTATTAACATGGTTTAAAAACAACACTTGACTGTGAAAATCATTTTCTCTCTGAGAAGGGTAGCAGATTAACAAAGACAAGAAAAAAAAAGCATAATTGTGGTAATGTAAGCAGGAAACACACAAAGAGAAGGGAGGATAAAAGAGAAGCAAAAAATAAGCTATGATATGGGTGGACAGAAGGATGGATGGATAGATGGATGGATGGAGGCACAGAGCTGCCTGAGGCGATGTTGGGAAACACTCCAGTCAGGTCTCTGAACACCATTATAGCCTTTTTTTGATCTGATGCGTATGTGTGTGTGTGTGTGTGCGTGTGTGTGGATATGTGCTGTTGTATTACTCATATTTTGTTACTCATAAATGTGTTTACACTGTTGCATTTTTGGAAGTTGCAACGTTGACATGAGGTAAACCGTGAGATTTTTTGTATGAAATCTTGGTTTAATAATAGGACACCGTGAGGTACAGGCTAAGGTGATGGTTAGTTGTCCTTAGGAAGAGAATGCAAGTCAATGTCTTTTGAAGTGATAAAGACAAGCGTGTGTGTGTGTGTGTGTGTGTGTGTGTGTGTGTGTGTGTGTGTGTGTTTACATATGTTTGCGGGGACCAAAAATTGGAAGTTTACCATGTTTGTGGGGACCAACTGCCCTTATGGGGACAAAAACACGGTCCCCACGAGTTTGAAGGCATCTTTCAGAGTCAAAGTGTGGTTTTAGTGTCAGGATTATTTCATTATGGTTATGGTAAGGTTATGGTAAGGTTAGGGTAAGGGTTAGGGTTAGGCATTCATTTTTGATGGTTAGGGTAAGCGGCTAGGGAAAGCATTATGTCAATTAGATGTCCCCACAAAGATATGAAAACACAATGTGTGTGTGTGTGTGTGTGTGTGTGTGTGTG